ATTTCGGTTTGCTCCAGTTACTTCAATTTCAATGTATTTTCATACAAAAAAAGGGCACTGTCATAGGCACAACAGCAGTGAACAGCAGCAGCAGCATCAACAGCGACAATAGCGGCATAATATTGGTTTCATAATCGTACTCGTGAAAAATTATGATCCACATTTTTCTAGTAGAAACCTGCAGAATGAAAGGCAGGCAAACACATCGCAGCCATCAAATAAAGTTTCAAGTGTGCGACAGAGAAATGTTGTGAATTGTGCGGTGCCTCACTTTCATATTGTACATATCGAAAAATGGGTTTTTGGTAACATTGTCATTGGCATGGATGTGAAAATTGTGTGTGTTGCAAAACAACGAATGTACACATGATTATGGGAGGCTATAAACGGTAAACTAGGAATTACACAAATATGGAATATGATAAAACCAAAATGAACATTGAACGCGACTCACACAATACACAGTTGCACATACATTGAACCACACTCAATTTTATTTCTCTCTTTCTTTCTCTCTCTCGCATTCCCAGTACACGGTGTACGTATTTATTAAACCGCACATATTTATAAAGCCGAGCAACGAGAGAACGGAACATTTTGTTTGCAATGCGCTTATGAAAAGCATATAAACGTACTGAACATGAAGCAATAACATTCACCAACCATAACCGCAGCAGCAATATAGCGCCAACGACGAACATTTTCGGTGGAAAATCCCTTGTTCGGTGCCAATGGAATGAGGAGTAAGTCGTAAAAAATGCTTGAGAAAATGTGTACGATGCATATATGCAAAAACCCACATCAACATCACATTTGCATCTATCACGCGTGGACAATGCACACACACACGCCGTGTGTCTTTCAAAGTGAACTGAATGTCGATCGAATACCGAAACAAAACCCAAAAAGACACTAAAAAACCCAACGCGTTTCACACATTCTCGAGAAGAGACAAACGCAAACACAAGAATCTAAATTCTACATGCAACTTTGTTATTATTTCTCGTGTGTTTATTTCGGTGTTTTTTTTTCGCATTCATCTTTGTGTTTTTCTCTTCACATATGCATATGGGCCAAACAATTCCAAGTTTTCACTTGCAATGTCGTGTGCGATCATTTATTTCTATATTTATTTAGTTGATTTTATGTGTTGGTTTGTGTTTGGTCGCGGACACCATCACCAAATAGCTACTGTAAATGTTGTTAACTGCATCTGGGTGTTCATTGTACCCACATTATGTTTGTATCGCGTACTGTATACAGTAGACCACCGAATTTTCCTGTCTGTTAACGGTCGACTACTTTTCGGTCTGGATTCATCGCAATCATCTCTCGTTGAATATAAAGACGAATGAAAATTTCATGTACAAATAACATTTATTTTGCTGGGTCGTTCGCGTGTGCGCGCGCGCACATCCAAATATCCAAAAACTGAACAATTTACATGAAATTATCTTCGTGTTCGGTTTCGATATTACTCCACATATGCATTGTCTGTATTAAGCGACTTGATTCATGAAAATGTGAATTGTGCGCGCTCGTATTCATTTGTCCATTTAATATGTGTGTGTTTTTTGCTTGCTTGTTTGATGTTGACTTGGTACATTGAGCTCTAAAATCGTCTCTCTTTAAAATCTTTTCGCAACATATACACTGCACGTACAATGATACGCATTCACAATTTAACTGCTACTTAACTGTAGTGTTTTTGTTGTGATTTTCCATTGTCAGTCATGTCGTTTAGTTTTGTGTGTAAATACATTGAAGTGCGCGCGCGTTGATTGAACCAAATATTATGCTAATTCTTCTATTAAATATGAAAACAAGAAAAAAAAATATGTATGCGTTCGTTCGTTTGTTCATATTTGCAACTGAGGCGTGAATGTTATCAGTACATCCATTTAAGTATTGCACACTGAATGTGTGTTTACTATATGGTAAAATGCATATAAATCGTAATTTTTCGTTTTGCTCATGCTCACGTTGTTCATATACATTCATGAATGAAATTGGTGGCGACGATATACATAAAAAAAATGTGTAAGTAGTAAGAGAAAGAAACGAAGCGAACGAGTCGAATAAGTGAGTGCCATTTCGCTTCCAGGGAATCCAATGTTAAGACGTTGAATGTCTCGTGCACGAAACAGTGATTATGAGTTGTCAATCTTTTTGCTGTCGGTTGTTGTTGTCGGTCGAGTTGTTGCTTCTGTTGCAAAAAGACCGATTGAATATTTACTTTTGCGACAGGGATAAGGGAATAAGACACGCAAAGTGGTCGCATTTGTTTCTCATGAGATCCGTTGCCAGCGACTATATTATATTATTACATTATACACACAAGAGTGTATGTGTGTGACACTGTGTGTGTGTGTTTATGTTCATTTCATTGGCGTAAACGCTACTTTCATTCGCATTTTCATACACGATTTGGCTCGTGCTCTGTTCGAATAATAAGCAACGTGCTTCAAAATATAACATCAACAACAACAACGATTCACTCGCATATGAACGAGAAAAAAAAAGAAACAAAAGACGCAATGAGACACATAACGAATCAAGTATGAAATTGAATATCTCAATCCCCAGTGCTCGAAATCGAAAAGCGAAAAGTGACGAGAACGGATATCATGAATGTAATGCGTACAATCAATTTTTATTCTCGTCTTCCTCTCTATAAATTTACTGTTGCCTGTCTAACATACAACGAGAGCACACGCATGCCACATTCACTCAGTGCGAACATTCTCGGCAATCGTTGCTCATACGCTTTATTAGAAGATTAAAATGCAATTAAGATAACAACAACAGCAACAACAACTGAACGGCATCAAAAACTACGCAGCATATAACATTAAAATAACAGCAGCAGAAACACGAAGAAAAAGAAAACTTTTCAACATTACACAACTATATGGGAAGTAACAATAACAGTATTAATAATCATCGTCAAAATAGATTCGGATGCGTCGAACTCTGTTCCACATTGTGATAATCCTCTTTCATGTATGAATTTGGATGGTATTAGGTTTTTCTCCGTTGATGATTCTGCTGAGGTTGCTCTTTCTTTTCTCCATCACTTTTCATCGGTTTTCGTGCACCGAATTATGTATATTCGGCTCTTGTATGACATATATTCCCTGTGGAACATATAATTCGATTTCATTCGAACCGAAAACTGATGTAAGCACACGCAAACATATTTTCGATTGAAAAACTTGGTATTTTGCTCAAATTTGGCCATACCCCAAAATCCCATCAAATAATGAAAGCGAAAAGTTTCCAAAATGCCAATGCACACACGTGGCATTATCGTTAATGCGTTCAAAACTCATTCTCACAAAATAAACTACATAAATACATTTAAGATAGTTTCCAATGAAAATGACGGCAAGTGATGAATATAAGATTCGTAATTATTATCATAAATAATATTTTTGATTCATTCACTTTTGGATTTGCAATGATAATAATAATTTTCACATTCATGCATGTACAAAAGAGCTGTGTAAATGTTATCATTTCTTTTTCGATTGTATATTTCTTGTGAATGTCGTCGCATTTGATCCATTTGAGAGAATGAAATTTGGAAAATCTTGACGCAGTTATGGCACCATATAGATAAAAGTGAACAAAAACCGCAAAAAAAAGAAGCAAATCAAACGGGATTTAGACTGAAAATGCCTTTACTCGATCTTCGGATTTTCTTCGTATTCTTTTTCAGAGCATCGTGAATATTTTGAGAGAAAAATTCATGCATGACTCTTAAGACTGCCATATTTGTGATTCTTAACAGAGCACAGAAGCCAGAGAGAATGGAAAATAACCAATTCTTTTGATATGCTTATTCGTCTTTATCTGGGCACGCATGTTGTTTGGTTTCCATTGATTTCGTTTTTTGTCTGTGTAGTTTTTTTTCTTATTTCTTATCGATTTCTACTTTTTTTAGAAATCTTTTGAACTTCAATCGCAACTCCATAAATGAAATGATTAAAAAACAATCGAAACACATACACACCATCCGGCAAACGAATGAAAGAAAGAATTAAAATGCTAAATGCATTTGCATGGATTTTGTCGGAGTTGATGCTTGACATTGATGCAAATCGATTCGTTTCTCAAACTAGCTAATGAGTTAAAATTTGTTGAATTTGTCTGATTACAATTCTTGGCAGCGAGTAATTTTTGTATTTTTTTCCCTTTCTTTCATTTTGCTTTCGTATAAAATCGATGCTCAACAACAACAAAAGATCAATCCAACGAAAAAAGGGATCAACATGCAAGAGAAGAATGTGGATAAGAAAATTAGGCAAGTCACTGAATTAATGCGAGCAATGTCGTCGCCTTTGTTATTATCTGATATCTCCGAATGTGCTTTCTGATCGATGCGTTTCACTCATTCCCAATTCACATTTCCGAGTATTTAAATATGAATTTAAGAATGTCGAAAATTCATTTACGTTCAAGTCAGAAGCAATGGAAACAGCAGCTGCTGTTCATGTTGTTCGGTTTTTAATTAAATTCAGTGGTTTTTCATCGGCAGTTGTTAAGCTAAGAATAGTTAGATTAGTGGCTTGGCACATCATCGATGCAGGTCATCGGTATTTCTCTCTCTCTCTTTCTCTCTGTGTGTGTGTCGTCGGATCGATGATGTTAAATCATAAATTATGTAGATACAGATATTTGACAAAAAAGTGTGTGTTGGGTCTCTCTCTCTCTCTCTGTGTGTGTGTACTGTTGTGTTTTTGTTGTTACTCATCATACATAAGCATTGGCATTCAATTTGATTACAGTTTTAGTTTATGAGCATCCGTTTAACTTTGTTATCTTCAGCATAACGGTTGATCTAACTTCCAATATTTCGAATGAGAAAAAGTGATTCGATTTAATATGTTGGGCCCATTCTCGTCAAATGGCGTCTGAAAATACATTAAGCATCGATTTGTAAATCATTTGCATCCATTAACCACATCACTTCTCTGTTTTTTTTTATCTTGTTACAGATTGCTGAGTTTGCAGACAACAACACCAACCCAACGGTATGTATGACCATTATGTTCGAACAATAATAACACAAATACAAAAACGGTAATAATATTTTTCGGAAGAGGAACAAAACGACACTCAATCGTTCGATAAACGAGCGAATTTCATTTCATTTATTGTTGTTCCATGACCGAACTTCTAATTGCCGTTTCATTTATATTTCATAATCACGTATAAATGTTGCCCACACTTCATGGAGCATGAATGAATGAAAAACCACGCTACAAAGAAGTATACATATCATATCATCGAATAATCTTCTTTAGTTTTTGGGTTTGAAAGAGCGGTGCGTTTTTCTCTTCTTCTTCTTCTTCTTCTTCTTTCTCTCGGTTACTTGATATTTGTTTTTCCGTGTGGTTTATTTAATGTCTACTATTATTCAATCGCATTCGGTTAGTGCGATGGCGATATGCGAGCGGCACGTTCTCCAAAAGCTCATGGAATCAACAATCCAGAACGTGTACTAGCCATTTTCTCAATGACCATTGTGTGTATATACAAGCGGCTAGCAAATTCACTCCAGACATTGCGCAGATTCGTTCAAATGCACAGGCATATACCGTCAGCACAAGGCACAGAGAGAGATAAAGAGAGAGCGGGCACAAAGCAAATCAAAAGCAAATAAACACGTTAAGAATATACACGTACATGATACAACGATTTTTAGCTAGATTTGCTACAATTTTATTGACTGGCCGGTTCAGTTGGATGTGCGCAACTTACTGAACATAATTTAATAACATTATAACGATAATGTATTGCATTACATGTCCTGTGTATGTGCGGCGCACAATTTTATTTTTGTTTCAATTTTGATTTGGTTTATCATTTGTGGCTTCTCGTCTCATACGACAACATTGTCGGTTTGTTCGTTCGTCCGTTCCATCGTCACTGGTGTGGTATGTGGATACTGTGTTTTAATGTTTGTTTATGAGTTCAACGATTGTTTTACAACCATATAAACGTGCAACAAAAATTGTTGTTAGTTGAAGTTTTCGAAAACTGTTGTCTTTTGCACGCACGCTTACACGCACCAAACTTCTAATTTCATTTGTATAGCCAACGTGTCTATGTGCATCAAACACGTTTTTTTCTGCACGTAACATGTAACACTGATTACATGAAATGAATTGTCGACCAAAATGAAAATAAGATTGAGGTTTTTATTTAACAATTAATATTAATTCTGGCGCAAATGGTTCGAAGAATAAGACACTCCATTCGCATTGTTTATTAGTAATAAACGCTTACATTTGCAGTTGACTCTCTTGCGACGCGAAATAAACAAATGAATAATCTTTGTTTAACCAAATTAAGAGATGCAAACAAGTGAATTGTTCGAATAGAATAGGCTGACCAAAAATTGAAATAAAAAATGGTTATTATAATGTTTATGAAATTAATTTGCAAAACAAAGTAATTCATTTAATACTATGAACCAGACGATGTGCACATGATATGACTGTAAAAGAATGGATTTTATTGAAAACTTATGGTAATTTGCTAAAAGCTGAAATGATTCATGCAAACATTCAATTTTCTAATGGACGCGCGCATGCGAAAAATATGTATACATCAACAAACCGAGCGAATGAAAAAAAAAAAAAAAGAATTTGAAAGGATGATGAAGAAGTAGACGGGGGAAGAAAATATGAAATTTGTATGCCTTATGCGCACCAGCTAAGTGATTTAAATCAATGATTTATGATCGATACAAAAGAGGAAACAACAAAGTGTTTTGGCGACTCAGCGCAAAACTTGGAAATGGGGCAAAAGCAGCCAACTCTCAAGCATGAGAGAGTTCACTGAAAACACTTTGTGCTTACTAATAAAACATATTCTAGAGCGAGATTTTTTTTTTCAACCATGGTTCGGCATAAAATTGGCGAACGGCGACAGCTTCAAGAGATATATCGTTTTATCACGCAATTCAAATGCCGCAAACTCTTCACCAACAAACAACAACTATAAAATTCACTCTTTCTTGTTAAATCATTCTAAAAATGGCAATCAATTTGGTCAGGCACCAAACAAAAATGGCATTCTGTGACGAGGCGCGCGCGCGTTTGTGTGTGCAACTACACTCAAATGATATTCTCCGAATCATTTGCATATATGTCCGACGATGTGATGTGATTATTGTATAAATTTATTTACTCAACAGAAATAATTTGACATTTTCAAACTAATAATATAATCAAAACGATGATGACGACAAAATTACAAAATATTGTAATTTATGCTCATAAACCATTTACAAATAAAATTGACTGCGTTTTATTGCAAATCGCTTTTGAGTTGGACGTTGAAAATAAAAAAATAATAATTTGTAAGTCAAATTTGAAAAATTCGTTGGTTTAAAGCAGACAATATATTTAGCTGCCGTCATCTGGATATTTCAGCTCATCTGGATGCCGTCAGCAGATGATACGAATTGAAAACAATAGAAGTGATTGTTATAGTAATACCAGTATATAACAAGCTTATATACCTATAACAATCACTTCCATTGTTTTCACTTCGTATCATCTGCTGACGATATCCAGATGAGCTGTAATATCCAGATGACGGCAGCTAAATATATTGTCTGGTTTAAAGTGAAGAAAAGAAGAGAAACGGGTTCTTATTTGGTTGTGTCTTGGCGAAAAAAAAAATAATGGCATATCTTGTCAGTCATAAAAATGGTGTTTATGAACTGTGATTCCTATTGCTTATTCTAATTTTCTTTCTCTCTCTCTCTCACGCACCATTTGGTTTTTCACAAACCATTTACTTTCGTCATCAAATATTGTTAGTATTCATGTTTAAAGTCAAATCACTATGTTGTTTGTTTGTTACATAACAGTTTATTGGGTGCTCAAAATGTGTCTGATGGTGTTTGATAAAGTGAAATCAACAAAATCTATGGATTCTTTGTGAAAAGAATGTTCCCTCGTCTCGATAATGATATTGATAGAGAGAAGAAAAGACGAAAATATGCAGACGATAATAGATATGCAAGTGTTGAAAGAAATGTCTGAAAAAGAGAGCTGAGAAGTAATTGACAAGAGAAAAATTGAGTGCATACTGAATGAGAGCTGAATGGTCACAATCGACGATGACATTGATAATGATAATGATTATGAAAATGATTATATGGATATTATGGTCTCATAAACGCTTCGATCATAATTAATTTTTTTTTTCTCGTTTTGACACATCATTTTTTTCATCTCTCATTTTGTCGAATGACCAAAGAATGTGATATTTGAGCATTGGATGCATGCTGTTCGTCTCTTTTGTTATGAACATTCATTTCCATGTTCCCGAAAAAAAAAACACGAAACGTTTATGGATTTCACCGCGTGAAAAATTTAACATTTCGAGTGGGCCATGGTACGGTTAAATGCCATAAATAGTCACAAATATGTGTGGAAGAGTAAAAAATCAAGCGTCATTTATTCTATTTGTTCTTTTTTTAAATATTTATTTCTTTCCAGTAATTTCTGACAAAAAAAAAGGTTTTGCCGACCAATGCCGACCAATTCACGGGCTATTCGAAATAAAGAGCCGGAATGTGATTAGAATGTTAATTTGTCAGACAAATTTTTTTTTTCGTTCGCCAGTCTTTTTTTATTTCTTTCCGTACACACACACACACACACACACACACACACACACACACACACACACA